CCCCCGGGTTTTTTCTTAAATCTTTTACTTTAAAAAAAAAAAAAAAAAAAAAAAAAAAAAAATCCAGAATATAAGATTCCTATGATAATGTTTTCACTGTTTGTTAGGATAAAACCTGGATTCTTTAGTTTGCATAGACATGGTGTGAAGTAAAATTATCTAAGTAGTGGGATTTTCCAAATGCACAATTCATCCATTTGGCCCTTTAATTATTCAGCTTTTATTTGCATGATTACATTTTCTGATCCAAATCTTTCAGCAGCACAAACAGTTGAGGTCTTTTCGTAATACTCTGTAGGGCCTTCCAAAGGCCACATTTCTGTGTCAGATTTTCCAAGAGACTAACTCAGAGTCATATTTTTTTTTTATCAGCTTGTTTCCAAATTGCTCGTTAAACCTTTCCACCAGCAGTTCAGGTTTATTTGAGGAGCTGCAATGGTTTGTTATTGTGCTACTTAGCTGCAAGCCTTTATTCACTAATCATGATGGACACTTGAAACATGGATCATCATCATCTGTGTATTATCTAATTTCACTTACTAAAGTATATGAAGTATGTAAACAAATTACATTTATTTAAACACTGTCATTTATACTTTTGTGAACGACAGGAATTTGGCAGGAATATTTGATCCTGAATAAAGATCCAGCTCGATTGTGTCCAGCCATAACTTAGTTTAAGAGTAATTGAATAAAACGACATCTCTGTCTCAGGCTCCTGTCATTGTATTGGCCGACTCTCAATAATTCTGCTTTATAATTCCCATCTCTCTAATCTGATATAGCTAAAAGGTCTGGTTTTCCTTTCTGTCAAAGAGCTTTCAGAAAGCGTTTCTAACGTTCAGTAAAATGGCTGTGATAACACGCAGAGTAGATTTTTATGAGCTTGGTCCTCTAATAACAAGGCATAGTTCATGCACAAGAATCCAAAACTCCATCTAAACTTGGAGGATATTTTTTTATTGTGCTTGGGGTCACTCTGTCAGTAGAGTAGTTGTCTTTCAACTGCAAGGTTGTAGGTTTGAGCCCAGCTCCCTCCCATCACTTCAATGTGTCATCGGCCAAGGCACTGAGCCCCAAGTTGCCAACTGATCTGCGCATTGGTGTATAAATGTGAATGTGGCTGTAGTATTAAGTCAGTCAGTATGTAAGTAAAGCACTATATGAGTTCAGTCCATTTATTAGGATCCATTTAACATGAAAGTTCTAACAATACAGCCATGCTGGATTAAAGTAACGTTTGGCAAAAAATAAGAATCCAACTTATTTTTTTTTTCAAAAACTTGTGTTTTACACAATTAATTAATCAGTGTTGAATAACTAATTCCAGGTTTGACTAGTTCATGTATTGTTTTCCTAGTTAGTATTAAATTATAAGGCATCATAATATTTTGTTGTAGTAGTAATAAAATCACTATAAAAACAGTTTATAAAAAATCCTTAATATTTGTGCAAATACGTCTGTCAGAGCCAGCAGTATAAGCCACACAATAAAAGTTATTGCTAAATAAAAACAACTTCTCCATTATTAAATGGAATACTTCAATACACCAATTGCATTAAGTTGTGTGATTGCACCACTAAATAGTATGTAATAATGTTCACTAATATTTCCAAATATACTATTATTATTGTTTGAAGCCCATATTCAATTAAAGTTTATTAGGTATCGACTGATAACTTATTAATATCACAATATTTACATGTCCTAATAATAGTAAATGGCTTAATGATTGTCAGTTCCTCTCTTAATGTTATAAAGCATAGAAAATACTAAATTATCTTTTCACACACACACACACAAAATAAAAGATTAATTAATCTCAGGCTATGCTATTTAAAATCTCTGTCCAGTATAAAATGAACAGGTCCAGTTTTAACCACTAAATGTTCCAGCTTTAGTGTCATTTAAAGCTAAAGATAAGCTTGTTGTGTTATTCTGGTGATGCTTAAAAATTGTTAAACTTTGATGCTTAAACATGGCCACAGCTTGTCTGTTATTCTGTCCCTTTTTTATATTCCTGTTGGGATCCCAAAAATCTGCCAGGCACTCTGAGTGGCAGCAGCTCGTTCCCTGCTTATGAAACCGAGTCCTGGTGTCGAGTCTGACATGCAGCGTTTGATAGCTGACTCCATGCTACTTAAGCCACTCACCTACATATCCAGGGTAATAACACCTTGCACTTTTTGCAGCAGGGCAGAACTGTTTTGGGACAGGCTGTACTTTGACCAGATAAATTATATCATCGCTTTTCACAACAGGTCAGCTTTGCTTGGAACCAGGGCAGAAAAATCTCAGATGGGCACAATTAAATAGAAGTTCCTAATTTATTATTCAATATATTTGTGAAACTAGGGAATCTAATTAAAATGTAAATTGTACCTATAAATATCAGAGTTTTTTTATTTTATTTATTTGTTGCTGCTCAACTAAAAACCAAACATCTGATTGGTTAACCTGCACCAAAACTCAGCCAAAGACTAATCACCTTTCAATAAAGTTTGTCATTTCTTTAGATAAACCAGCTTGATTTATGTTTCTCAGGTGAAAGTCGTGGCATTTTGTCTTTATACCAAAGTAATGGAGGCTGGTTAAAACTAAAACTGGTTAAAATGGCCTGTTGTCCTCTTTGTGTCTGTTCCACACCAAGTCATTTCCTCCTACTGCAAGTACAATTAGGAAGAAAGATAAAATATAGGTACATTAGGCTTTTTTTTTTTCATTTACCTGCAGACATTTTTCAAAAACATTAATCTTGATCATAGTTTGAGGGCCCAATATATTTACTAAAGCAGTATTTTAAACTTTATTCTCTGAGCCACAGGGAGTCAGTAGGGACTGTGAAACTGGGGCAATGTGCTTTATCTTCCTGGGGAATTATCGGGAATAATTTGATTGCTATGTGGTCTTTTGATAAGCTTTTGATGAAGCTAATATTTTTGATATCCCAGAAAGCTAAACTGGATCAAAGCACAAGTCAAGCTCTACATGTCTGTATTTCAGTGGTTTTATGGCGTTGGTCCTCCACCCAAAACATTACAACCAACTGAGACAGAGATGTTTCTGTTCATATTCCTCACACATTTATGCCAGTCTATTTGCACCACAGGGGTTTGCAGAAGAGGGGAAATTCTGAACATAATCTATCAGTTTGCATTATCAGTGCTTGACAGACACTTGATATCGCTTCACAAAATATAATTACTGCAGCAAAAACCTGCATTGGTTAGAGAAGACACAAAAATCTAGAGAAGCAGACCTAACTGCAATGATGCAACAGAATGTATGATTTTACATCTCATATTGTGGACAATTTGTCCTCGTCAAAACAGAATCAAATTCATCTCGTCTTTATGCAACTCGACATAATTACAATAGAGTGTAGTATGCTTTCTGCCCTTTACGAGGTTTAACTTTTGCTCGCTGTAATTGAAGTCTGTGTTTTCAAAGAGCTCCTTTTGTTTAGTTGCAGGTAAACATGGTCTATAACGAAGTGTGTAAAACACAAGAGACCTCGAGCCTTATAAATAGTGTCTGAAGTGCAAATGAGCTCAAGTTATTCCACTTTTATGAGACTTCAGGCCAAGGAACCCCGTGCCATCCTGCTGCCTCCAAGTTATGTTTAGTTAAAAATTTATAACACATCTTATTTAGGGTAATTTTGAAATAAATGACCTTCATGGCAAAACAAAACAAAAAAACATGAGTTAACAGAAAATTATAGTGAACTGATATATCCTCTTTTAAATGCATTTCAGAATTGCAATTAGAAGAATAAAAAAAGTTTGAGACATCGTCGCTGAAAATGTTGGAGCAAAAATGTGTGGATTCTTCTCGGAACCGGTGTTCAGCTCAGTTTTAAGAGAGATTAAGCCTTGATGTGTCACTTGGATAGTTGGAGTTTTGTTCTCTGGAGTAATGTTCCACCACAGATAAAAGCTATCCATCTGTAATGGCTATACCCTTTCCACAAGTCCACACAGCTCAGCGAGGGCCAATCGCCTCCCTCACCCTCAGCTTGAAGAGTAAGAGGGGTTGACATCCTGCTGAAGAGGCTGTGTGGTGCCAGATAAGACTGTCCGTGTTCTCCTTCTCATTGAATGTGCTCTGAAAAAGCCCTTGCCTAAATCAATTATAGCAGAATGTGGTGAGGGCTGTTGCAATATTTCTTACAGAGCCTCTTACTCAAACTCGGGCGCGAGCGCTGCAGCAGAAGTTCTGCGCAACTTCTCATATAACATTATGGAAAATTAGTTGCAAAAGCTCAAGGTGGACCCTGCAGAACCTGAGCAAAAAAAAAGACCTTCATAAAAAGTGTGTTGAAATTATCTTACTTTATTTGACTTGTGTTTAGCCAGACTTAGAATGTCTTTATTTTTTGCTGAATGCTTTGCAAGCCGAATAAACAGTAATCGGAAAAACACTGAAGAACTTGACTAATCCGTGATTATTGTTGGTTTTAATCATCCACTTAGTTTGCAACTTCATCACTTCAAAAGCCACATTTTGTAGCCCCAGTTTAAGGTCTTTGTACGGCTAAAACAAATATTAGACAATCAGTTGGATGTAGCTGTAATTATTGTGAATTGTTGCAGAGTACTTTAAAGTTGTTCTTTTTACTTTCAAGTGATTTTCAAATCACATCTACCCACATTAGCTAAACGCAAATTTGCATGTACCATTATTCACCACACGTGCTGCCATTTGTGTGCTGAAAAACCTTTCAAAATAAAAAAAAATATATAATAATTTAGTTGGGATAAAAATGTATTTGTCGTATCAAACTACCACTTGACTAAGTGCTTTTTCACACTTTTGTCTCCTTAATAGCCACTGATTTATCCTCCGTCTCCCATTACAGGTAACAAATTCTCATACTGCCATGCCTCCCTACTCGTCGCGGGCATCTGGTGCTACGCCGGAGTGTTTGCCGTGGGTCCACTGTCAGGTTGGGGAGAGTATGGTGCTGAACCTTATGGGACTGCTTGCTGCATCAACTGGCACGCTCCCAACCACAGTTCTGCAGCGATGAGCTACATCATCTGTCTCTTCTTCTTCTGCTACATTGTTCCCTGTACTATTATATTTCTGTCCTACACCTTCATCTTGGTGACAGTGCGAGGCTCGCGGCAGGCCGTACAGCAGCACATGTCTCCACAGAACAAGATCACCAATGCACATGCACTTATAGTTAAGGTAACTCCATAAGCTTACTTATTTTGTCTTAATTAGCACTTATTTTTCTTCCCATGAGGAATGCCTTTTACGTATTTTCATGTTTACTTTGCAGCTTTCCGTGGCAGTTTGCATCGGTTTCCTCACGGCTTGGAGTCCATATGCGATTGTTTCCATGTGGGCAGCCTTTGGGAACGCAACAGACATACCACCAATGGCTTTTGCTTTGGCAGCCATATTTGCCAAGTCCTCCACCCTTTACAATCCCATTGTCTATCTGGTCTTCAAGCCCAATTTCCGCAAGTCTCTGTGTCGGGATGTAGCTCACTGCAGAAGCACATTCTGCAGATGTTTTTGTCAACACAGCTCTGCACAGAAGGGAACTTGCAGGCAATCTCATCACATTGACGAGTGCAACTCCACAAGGTTGTCTAATGGACTGCCAGAGAACCACCGGACCTGCAGACATTGTCCTTGCGCTGAAACGGTCTCCGGTGCCAAGGAAAATTTCACAGATTACAGTCCTCAGCAGACTGCCAGAATACTGAAAGGATCTGTGCAAACCGAGGTCGCTGTCAGTCAGCTCTCCAATGAGATGCAGAGCGACTTTCTTTAAAGAGAGAAAAACGCCGCCTCAAAAACAAAAGCTGCCAAAAGAAACCAGCAACAAAAAACTGCAAGATGTTGGATAAAAAAAAAAAAGAAGCTAATTGCAATTTCAGGAATAGTCAAAGGCTGAAGGCTTACTCACTGATGAAAAAGACTATTATTGAGTATTATTCTCGAGTTCCAAGCTTGTTCTATACCTCAAATATTTAATACTGCCAATAGAAAAGAAAAACAGATTTTAAAAAAAAATCAAGATTTGATCATGCAGTTACAGTAAACACAGTAAAATAAGCAAGCCAACCAGTTCAGATGGTAAATTTGTCAGGTCAAAGTTACAAGCATCAACTATTGTATTGCTCTGAACAATCAACATCAAGGAAGCAAGACTGAAGAGTCAAAATGCAAAATCAATTTACGCTGGATTTAGAGGGAGGAAGTGATACTGAAACTGACGACTCCCTAATCAACCCTTTATGTGTTTTTACAAGTACTGTACATTATGGGATATTTGTATTTATTAACGCATGCCTCAAACTGAAGGACAACAGGGTTGCTGCTCTTACCTAAAAGTAAGTAAATATCGTGTCCCGATTGCTGTCGGAGAACAAAGTTTTCGAAGCCTCAATTAATTTGCATACAATTTGTCGAACTTGAGGTTCACCTTTTAAAAGTAGGTTCGTCAAATGAATAAAGAACAATTCAAGCTCAACAAAGCTTCTTATTACCTTCATAAAAATGAACATCCTAGTAACAGAGTAGCATTCGTTACTCTGCAGTGTTATGTCTGATTGTCTGTAGGAAAAATGTTTGGGTGGTTGGTTTAACAGCTCCTTTGGACCAAGACATGAACAATTTCTTTATGTTTCATGGAAATATTTGTTTTCATTTTACACTTTACTTCTTTTTTTTAAATATAATTTTATAATTTATGATGTAAAATTAGATCCTCTGGCACCAAAGCCAGGCAAAAATGCGTAATGAATGGATTACCCAATTAGTTGTCTCATTCTAAAACACCCCCAAAAGAAATCACAAAAGTAATTAAACTAAAAGGCTTGTGCAGATTTTATAAATGTTTTTTTTTTCTTTTAATTACATATTAGCACTTTACCAACTGAGAGATTCAAATGACAAAATAAGTTTTATACTTAAACAGGGTTAACTGTTGGCCAGTCTGGCTACATGATAGAGATAAGTTCAGGAGAAACAAAAGCACAGCTAAAACATTTTAGAATGCTGATTACAAGCATTACAATTTAGCAATTTACAACTGAGAGGCACACTTCACAATAGGACTCATTCAGCTCTGGAATGAGTCTTATTCCAGAGATGAATGAGTCAACTCTGGGACCCAGACTAGTAAGATGGCTGGACGTCCTCATGCTGCTCGAGTGTTGTTGTCTAAAACAGATGGCACATTCAAGCATCTGAAAATTGTACCCAAGATGAACCAGGCTTGTGAAGATCCACAAATCTCTTCTTGATATTTTGCTTGAGTTATTTCTTTTGAATTCGTCCTTATTCGTGAAGTGAATGAAGTTGTTTGCTTGAGATGCTACCTCAAAATAAAATTACAGGTGAACCCTCCAATTAACTCTGCCATTAGTCAGTTAGCGAATTAAAATATTTGTATCAATTCTAACTGAGCTAGAACAGAATTTGCTGTTTAGTCTGAGAATAAAAACAAACAAATATTTTTTATAGTGTCTGGTAATTCCTTGTTTCAGTTTTACAGTAAACCCCAAAGTCGAGTAGACTTTTTTTCCCCACTTTATCTTTGAAAAAAAAAAAAGTTATTGAAATATCAAACTATCAAAACACAGATTGACAAGTGGCGATATCTGGAAATGTAATCTCTCTCTGAGCATTTTAGCCCAATCTGTGACTGGTTGGTTTCGTTATCTGTCAACTTATCCTAACATAATTGTGCACTGTCACCACCTCCCTCAGTAAGATGTCTTCAACCCCCCTTCACAGCTCAGCGCTTTCAGAAAACACTCAAGGTTGTCTAAGTCTTAGCTTGAAGTGCTTGGTGTGCAGTGCTTCAGTTATTTGCCAGTAAGGTGCTGTCCACTAAACAATACTTTAGACGCTTTGATTAAAGCATTTCAGACATTTTCTTTAAAAACAAAAAACGGCTCCTTTTTTATATTTTGCTTAATAGGTCTGCTGTTTTTTTTTTTTTTTTTCTCTTTACTAAACAGCTCCATGTCATTAAATGAGGCTAACAAATGAAGAGTTCAAACAGCTATGTGATTTTAAACAGTCGGTTTTAACCTGCTTTTGGAAGAGGTCAAATCTTCATCACTCACAAGATCAGCAAAAAATAAATAAATCCACATTCACAGTAATTACTTTGAGGAAAAAAAAGACATTTAATTATTTTCCCTTTGAGAAAAAAAAATACATTCAAGAGGGTGCTGATTTATTTAATTAATTCAAAACAGGAGAAAATTTCTGTGCTTGTGCATGAATATGGAAATATTGTCTTCATTGCTTCTCTTGCCAACTATTAAAAAAAAAGTTGGTAACATGAGACCTAAAAGGCTGTGCCTCAGCAGATACCAACATTATATGAATAAAAATGCTCACTGAGCATAGCTGAGCACTGTTTGCCTAACAGGCAGTTTTGTTCTTTTCTCCTGGCAGCAAAGGTCATCAACTGAAGTCAAAAAAGACATGCAATGTCCGAGATAAATTAGATCTGCTTGAGTGTGTGTTTTTGTTGAGTGGCGTAGCTTCTGTGATATCTTAACTCATTATGTGGGGAAGGCTCCGGCTCTTTCTAGTTTTCACAAATTACCCGACAACAAAAGCAACTCACGTTTGATGTTTGCCGTTTCATATGATCACCTTATGTTCTGCTTGAGGTGATACAACAATCAGGTGACATGTTGCACATAATCTTCTAAAACTCCCTAATGACTCAGTAAAAAATCTAACAAATTCAACAATAAAATAAAATTCAACCAGAAAAAAAAATAAATAAATTAAAAAAAAATCAGCAATACAAATACACCGCCATCTTGCTTTTTTATATTTTTGTTTTTATAGTTTTTACATTTAGCCATGGGTTTGTGAGATGCCTCTTATTGAAGAGTTACTGCCTTTTTATAGCTAAGGCTATGACTACACATAGCCTTAGCACATACTCGACACATACAAAGAAAATACAACAAATCGATCCCTAAGTCACTTTTTGAGAAATAAAGTGGAGAGCATGTTGAACCAACATAAAAAGAGTAGGGGGGGAAAAATCCTAAGAATCCAAGAAAACTGCTCTGTTTGTATTTGCCATCTCGTTTCCTATTAGTCCAAATTAACTCAGCTGGTTTAGTGGTTTAACTGTGGGTTAGTCTAGTCTGGTTGGTTGAGAACAAAATGTAAGTCTTTGAGTGTAATTGTTTTTCCCACCATGTTGGAAGGAGATAACGCATAGCAGCTCATGCCAGAAACACCATACCAACGCTGAAGTTTGCAAGTGGGAGCATCATTTCCTTGGATTGTTTCAATTTTATCACTTGATGTGATTGAATGATCTGGCTTTACATAGTAGATATGTAAATAAGACCAAAAACATAAAGACACAATAATTGGGTTAAGAGAACAAAATCAAGGTTGTTAAAATGTCCCAGTTAATCTCTGGCTTAAAGGGAGTGTATTATGCAAAATCAACTGTTTTGAGCTTTAAACCATGTTACAATGTCATTCCCTCATCAAAAAAAAAAACATAAAAAAATAACCAAACTGTTGCTTTAACTCGTTTATGCATTGAACCTTGAATCTCGGGTGGCAGCCGTTTGGCGGCGCCTTAACGCCTCATGCAATGCGCTGCCTCTTTCCCCAAAGCTTCACCCTGGAGCTTCAGTCTCCAGCTGAGCTCCACGGCTCCATCATACTAGCGACGGCAGCGAATAGCAAACACCTCGTGGAACTGTGAGCTAATCACACAAACTACGACATTCTTACGTCTGGCTGTAAACAGCATCAATGGAGGCAAATTTCAAGGTGTCAGAAACAGCTTTGACATGAAGTCAAATTTCTTAAGTTCTCAAATTATTTTAAGATATTCAGAATTTTTATAATAATTGAATGTAACTGATTGTGCCATAAAGTGGCTCTGCATGTCTGAAAAATTTATATTATACCCCCCATTTAAATTAAATTTTTAATTTAGTGAAAGAACTGAACCAAGCAGTTTAGACATAGAGAAGTTTCCCTGAACCTGAAAGATTTGGAGACATTTGGTTTTGAGAAATCGGTTGCATCACAACAATGCATGTTGCTAATTTCACCAAAAAA